CTTGGTTTGGTGTAGAAGGCTTCCAGCCGTACATGTTTGAGCCCTTGCCTCGCAACGCTGCCAGTTCTGTTAGCTCTACGCCTGCTGAAGACACAGACGTCCATCCCCGTGAACACTGGGACGCAACTCAATGGGAAAGGAAAGGATTCTGATTTCAACCATTGCCTATATTAGCTGAGACATATGAATCAAGATGCTATGACCGAAAACATTTGATTGACAGATGACCGTTGATACATGATTGGCCGAATTTAGGTGTTCAGGCTGGTAGAACTAACTGGCCTGCAGAAGATAACGAAAAAAAAAAACAGATTTTAAGACAGAATTTTAAATAGAAATTTTCTAAATTTTGGGACAATCTGGTCTGATAAAGAGAACATTTATATACAAATTTAAGCCAGAATGATTTGACATTGAAATATGATTTCCCTACGACTTTAAAATTCTATGTCCTATTAGGTCAATATACATTTATAATTTAGGAATTTTACATATTTTTGACTTAATTTAATTAAAAATTACCGTTTTCTATAAAATCTAAATTAGAGCATTTTAAAAAAAATGTGTTTTGAAAAAAACATTTAGCAAATGAAAACTGGGATCCTATCTCAATCCCGTTGAAGCTATCACCTTATTCTTTTTAAATAATTTGTAAAACAGAATTTGTAAGGAGAAAAAAAAATGAAATCAGGAATCATGTCTGTTCCAATGCATATCATCATTAGAACTGTTATGGTACAGGGGCCATAACAGGGGCCAGGACATGATCTACAGGGGCGTTGGCCCCCGTTGGCCCCCTGTTTAGAACCGCCCATGATTAGAGGCAACTGAGGAAATGTTTTTAGTGGTTAAATTCTCCTAATTCCCCTTTTTAACTTTTGAATTTTAAATAAATGCAGAAAAAGGAACATTTTCAAGGATCAGGCAAAAAAAAACCAAACAGTTGTCAAAGTTCAGATCTGTGTGCCGCTGATGAGGCGTTTCCTTATCTTGGCTGTTTTTTCCACCTGCAGTGAAGGTCAGATCTAAACTCTGGTCAAACTGGTCGCCATACCCTCTGAACATGTCATGTTATCACCTGAAACAGGGAGAGCCATCCTGGGGGAGGTTTGTTTAACTCTAAAACACTTGAAACCTCTTTACTCTATCATCATCTAGAGATTTTATTCTTTAAATTGCTCCATCAAACTATCCTGCAGAGGATAAATCTGCATATTGCATCCACAAGCCTCTGATCTGAGGATCTGGGTCAGTCAGAGACAACAAAAAACTGTATTTATGTGTGAAACTGGACGACATGTTGGGCCTAAAAACACTGCTGGGTGTTTTCACTCTGCAGGCTGATGAGGGGAACTGAAGAAAAACACCATTGTTTGACGGGAGGAGGGGTTCTCCCAGTGAAAGGTCAATACTCTGAAGGCTCTGGTGGAAATGGGACTTCCAACTCAAACCATATGCTGCAGACCAGGATCCGTCATGACTGAAGGGAAAACTGAAAACTCTCTCTGTAGTTCCTCTGAAACCAAACTGATTCTCTTTTCCTAGTAATAGGTACTAAAAGGGGTTTTAAGCTGGAGGATATCTTTAAATGTGTGGAAAATCCACGAGCAGCTATTAGTCCAGAAAAATGAAATGTGGTTTAGCTTTTAGGAAGGCTGAGAAAAACAGTCAGATTCTGCAAGAAGAAAAGTCTGAGTTTTAAAAAATCAAGCATGTTGGATGAGAAGAAATAGAATAAAGAAACATTCTAGATTCAGAAAAAAAAACTAGCTCCTTCCTCCTGGACATATCTATATGTTATATTTCTACTAACGCCTCAGACTTTGGTCTTTTTAACCTGTTTCTCTCCATGAAGCCGCTAACACAGCTGCTGCTGTAAATTTAGAGATTGGTTCTCTATAAATAAAATCAATTGCTTTTATCATTTTGTTTTTAATCATTTAAGGTATTTTTTATGGATCTGACTGTTTTTTTTTTATCTTCACACAGCAGTTAAATAATTCCTCTTTACTGAAACGCTGCCATTTGGGTTATAATAAAGTTTATTTCTGTTGAAATAACAGCTTCAAGCTGATTTATAGCTGACTGCATCATTTCAGTTTAGGGATCGCATTTACATGAATTCAATAGAAAAGAATAGAATAGTATTTATTCATGCTTTTCTAAATAAATTCTCTCATCTTTAATGACAGCACTTAAA